GTATGGAGTGTACGCGAGTGATTCACGCAATGGTGCGAATAGTCACGGCCATAGTTTAATGCAAAAACCACTTTCATTGATTTGAGACCTCCTTTTCTTGATATGAAGAAATTGTCTTCATCTTTCTGACAAGCATAAAATTTCCTGGCGTAAGATTTTTTTCTTATTGTAAGATATAGTGCACTTCGTAATTTGTTTTTTCAGTGTATAATCGCGGGCGGAAAATACAATTTAGGGAATTTTTGGGGGTTCAAGGGTCGAACACTCACGTAAGCAAATTTTTTTCAACTGCGAATGAGTTTGCTCATGACTTAAAAATGTTTCAACATCCCTACATTTCCCTAAATCGAATCTTCCGCTGGCGAATCTTCCACCACTTTCAGCTTCATATCCTGAAACCAATGTGCTGAGTCTAAAAAATTGGCGAATTTTCCTCAGAACCAGAGAAAATTTAATACAAAAACCAACTTCCCAACAAGAAAATGAATTTTCGGAAACTGCGTGCATCCCCAACAAATGAACTGAATATACAGGTTTTGATGTTTGTTGGTTCTGTTGAACCTCGAGCAAGAGGTCAAGAACCCCCCCTCCGGTTTCAGTATCGTCCAGTAGTGTCGTTGGGGCCCTCCCTACTCCGGTTGTAGCCTTCGACGGGGAACTCTAGGCTTGCATTGCTTTTGAAATGAGAGGCCTCGGTCATTGAGTGTTGCCAAGCCGCAGACCAGAAGGACGATCTCACAACGAGAATAATTGTTGCCTTTCACTCAGTCGTTGTCTATTGTTGTTGTCTTGCTGCATCATCCTCCGGTGAAACCATCATTTCGGAGTTTTGGGATTTGCTTGGATAATCAGAGATATTCGCATGTATTAATTATTTTTCAGTACCCGATGACGATACTCTATGACACGGGGGTTCGAAAGAAAGAGGCATCCTCACAGGCGCTCGCACTTACCAGCCAGTACACACAGGAGCGGGAAATGTGTATGAAGTACTTTGAGAGATGGAGCGAACCGGAGCAAGTGCATTTTGTGGAGCAATTGTTGGCGAAGATGTGTCATTATCAGCATGGACACATTAACACCTTCCTCAAGCCCATGCTCCAGAGGGATTTCATCTCCTTGCTGCCCAGTAAGTTTACCAATGCCAAGTGATTCTTGCTTCTTGAATTATTCATCATGGCGTTTTGTATTATCTTTTCTGGAGAAACGGGATATGGCGATTGGAGTTTGAAGCAGGAAGTTTGAGATATGTATCGCAGGATTTAGGGGAGGATTGCGAGAATTTTTATGGGGTGTATTTTGCAGAGCAAAGTGGGATCGGCGGAAAAGGTTGTTTTGTTGAGCTTGATATCTCTCTTTGATGAAGAGATAGCTTACGACAAGTGATATTTCCCGTAATTTGTCCGATCGTTTCGATTGAACGGTTTTTATTAACTCTTTCTAGTTGATATCCAGTTATACAAAAGCAATTAAAACAAGTGGTTAATTGCTTCTGTCAACACATCTCTCTGGATTATGAAAATCTCAATTGTATTCGGGTGTTGAAAATTTGGCACATGAAATTAAGACTCGAAAATTAAGGGTCGCAGGGGTCACGTCGATCAAATCAGTAGCGAAGTGGTAAACCGGTTTAAGTCGATTTTGACTATTGACCAGTTTTTAGTGAATATCATGGAATCGAAGGGAGATAGCTAAATTTTTGTCGGAACTTTTTTTGTAGCACTCAGTTTGCTCTAGAAAAAATGTTATTACGAAAATTTCATTATCTCCTTTAAATTCAGAGATATTCTTCAAAAACTGAACTAAGAGATAAGTAGATTTAAACCGTTTTACCACTTCGCTACTGAAATAATCAAAATAATTTTTTTTCAACAACAGATCATGCCATCAATCGCATGATGGAATTCGGACAAGATGGCGCTGGGAAGAATATTTAAAATGACAATTGGATTTATTTACGTGACAGTGAGAAGTGAAATTGAGTAGTCAAGTGGAAAAACCTAGAGACCCAGCTCAATTTTCAGAGCGATCTACTAGAAAGGACCTTTTTTGTAGGGCAAAGTGAAATTGTTCTTACAGATGAAAAAGAAAATCACAGATATTTCGCCAGCTCTTAGATTACGAAATATTGAATAGAAACTAATCGTCGACAGGCGGTGACTTATGTTATTCACCACTGAATTCAATAGTGAAGTGGTAAACCGGTATAAGTCGATTTTGTTCATTGCCCAGTTTTCAATGAATATCTCAACATCTAAGGGAAATAGCAAAATTTTTGTCACAACCTTTTTTGTAGAGCAAATTGACAGCTACAAAAAAGGAGATCACAACAATTTCGCTATTTCCCTTAGATTCCCAGATATTTATTGAAAACTGGCCAATAGCGAAAATCGACTTATACTGGTTTACCACTTCGCTACTTAATTAATTTTTTATGAGAACGTTTGCTTTACTCTAGAACAGGTCATCATAAGAGTCTTTGAAAAAGTTTTAGATGTTTCCAGAGAGGCAAATAAATTCGTCAAAAATTAATATCAATTGAGTAAATTGTTATTCATTAATGAACAAGATAACCACTTTTAATTCATCATTTTTCAATCGGCGGCTTTGATTAATGATAAAAAATGAGATAATCCGATTAAGGGGGGACGTCGGTGAGATTTGAAAGTCTTCGGTAGAGCTAGGGACCCATTGAGCGACTTTTGATATATGATGCGATATGTTAAAAAGTTGGAGATATGCTGACCCCAATCGATTTTGCCCCATACATCCACGAGGGTTTCCCTCTTTTCACCTTTACAATCGTTCTTGCATCACAGTGTTCATCCGATTGACATACATTTTTTTAAATATTCGTTAGACTACAAAACACGAAGTTGGGCATCGGTTTTACGATCCGTCAAACGAATCATAAAAAAATTAATAAAATACAATTTTTTTTCGTTTATCGCCTACGTATTACGTCTAAAAAGCCTGTATTTTGAGTTGATGGAAATTGTATTTTAATATAATACGAAAACGAAATGAAAAAGGAAATTTTGTTACATTTTTATTTTGTTTCGTTTCAAATAGATCATTAAAAACTTGAAAAAAAGAAGTTCAACAATATCATGATCATAATCATGAAAAAATGTTTAAAGATGTATTTTTTAAAAAAATGTTCATGATTTATTTTAAACAAAACGAAAAAAAAGTAAGATTTTTTTTTTCAATTTTTTCATGATTCACTTGATGGATCGTAAAATGAATGCACACCTTTGTTCTTTGGAATCTAACGTACATTAAAAAAGAATGCCGATCCCATGAAAACAGTGGTGAAACGACGATTTTAAAAAAACATTAAAAACGTCGTTTTTCGTTGACATGTGGGGCACAGTCAGCGAAAATATTGGGTTCATAATTTTTTCCAGTATTCAACATGTCCCACCATATATGTCCCAAGCTCCAACAAGGATTTTCAAATCTCCCCGACGTCCGCCCTTAAAAATAATCGAATTTGCGTCATTCCCTTCATCGTTTTCTTCACTGAAAAAAAATCTTAACTCAATTTTTCGTGATACAGAAAAAGGTTTGGATCACGCAGCAGAGAGTATTCTCTCTTATTTGGACGCTGAATCGTTATACTCAGCTGAGCTCGTCTGCAAAGAATGGTACAGAGTAATAAGTGAGGGAATGCTATGGAAGAAATTGATCGAGCGTAAAGTGAGAACAGACTCGGTATGGCGGGGTTTAGCAGAGAGAAGAGGATGGATACAATATCTATTCAAGCCACGTCCTGGCGAGAATCATCCAAATCACACATTCTACAGAAATTTATTTCCCACAATAATGAAGGATATCGACAGTATCGACAACAATTGGCGAATGGGTAATCACAAGTTACAAAAAATCAACTGTCGTAGTGAAAATTCGAAGGGAGTTTACTGTCTGCAATATGACGATCAGAAAATTGTGTCTGGTTTGAGGGACAATACTATTAAAATATGGGACAGAAATTCATTGCAGTGTATCAAGGTGTTAACGGGCCACACTGGCTCGGTACTGTGTCTACAGTATGACGATAAGGTCATTATATCCGGATCGTCGGATAGTACTGTTAGAGTCTGGGATGCCAACACTGGGGAAATGGTTAACACACTGATTCATCATTGTGAAGCTGTCTTGCATCTGAGATTTAACAATGGAATGATGGTAACGTGTTCTAAGGTATGTCATTATTTTTTTTACGTCACATGTTGTGGTCTCTAGAGTGGAATGAACTCATGGTAAAGAGCACTTTTTGCTTTTTTTGCATATACGAAGGTGGCAAGTTGATTATTTTAAGGCCCGCGTGTATTATCTTTCGAACATGATTTTGGCTGTTTTTTTTATTTTGATAATCTGAAATGTTCTTCAATTGCCATTCAGTTTTACACAGCCCTGGAGTTGTCAAAAATTATGGTTGTACAATCAAAAAAACGTTGAAAAAATGAGCAGTTTCAAATTGCAAATGTCAAATTACTAATTTGCAGTATCTAATGGCTGTTCAGTCGCCATTTGTTCCAGTAGCCAATGCCTGTCAGATCGTTAGTTGCCATGATCAATTATCCATTTACAATTTTCTCGCTATCGGACCTATTTCCTAATCGTTATTAAAATGCTCTTTAAAACTGTTCAGTTTTTTTTTTCTACTTTTTTTCATTGTGCAATCATAATTTTTAGGGACACCTACGTGATACCAAATCCAGTGGAAATTGTGATATGTTTTAGATTACGAAGATGGAAAGATAATCGAGATAACGTTAAATTAATTATTTTGCTTTAGGTTACACTTCGCTGTCTCTGAAATGGAATGAACTATGAAAAATCGTTGTTTTTTTCACTGCACTACATGATGAATTTCACAATGTCAGAAATTAATAATTATCAGCTATTGCAATAAAATATTTTAATTAATTGAAGAGTTAATTATGAGGATTTTTTTTGTTTCCGTTTTCAGTCAATGCAATTCATCATTTCGTTCGTCGAAAAATTAATTATTGTGTCTTATATTGTTGAAACAGTACTTTTATTTGTACGAACCAAGGAATTTTTAAACAAATAATCATGATTTTTAATTCAACTTTCTGTTTCTTAAGAATTGTTCAAGAGATGGTAGAAAATATCCCAAAGAACAAATCGAGCTCAAGTACATTGAAATCATACGAAAAGTGCTTCAATCGATTATTTTTCTTCGTGTTCCATGCAATTTACCTTGATCGAGCCCAATGAAGTAGAACTTAATATTGGTGACATTTGATAAAGTACTAAATTGTTATCGTCGCCGCCAGGAAAGAATGATCTTGGATCTGAGTGGTGGGGGACGTTGAGTCGGATGTAATTGCGAGAGAGTGGGGGTGTCCAGTCACGACCGTTCTTTTTTGGCGAGGACTTTAATAATGAAGCATTCTGCAGTGATTTCACTATTTAAAGTTTGAATAGTGTGTTGTGTTACTAGTGCGTGAAATTTTTCTTTTCCGTGCGCAGGTGACTTGCGTTTGACGAAGGTATTTCGACACAACACGCAATTTCGATTGTTTCACGCGGAAACATAAATTATTTATTACAAAAGTTTAACACTGACGATAATTTTTATATTGGGCATGGAGTTTTGATTTGTTTTCCTTATGTTTCGAGATTTTTTCTAGATTTCAGTCTTCTGTGTTATTTTTGCAGTTATAGATTAATTGTTACCAATAATGAGTGGTTCTATTCATATTAAATTTCGTTTAGAATTTATATAAGATTTTAATCTTCAAAATTTACTCTATGTTTATACAATTTTAAGGATATCCAAGTATCTTTTAATTTAAACTTCCACTTACGAACTCAATCACCCTATTATTCAGAAATCCTCAAAATACTACATAAATTTACCATAAATAGAAGACTAAAGTTAATTATTTTAAGAAGTGTAAATATATAGATTAAGCTAATAAAACATTGATAGAGTACTAAATCTTGTAGATTTAAGCCATAAAGATCAAACCATGAATATTCAGTATCATTCAAAATTACATTTTGCACAGAATTATTATTTTTTCAAACATTCGTTACTTATAAATAAATAAATGAAATTGTTTGAACTTTCGAAAACCTACGAAAAAATTCTGAATACGAATAAATTTGTTACGATTCCAAACAAACGATTTATATAGTAGAAAATTTATTCTTCATAAATAATTTATAAAAAATGCTCGTAATAAAAAAAATGCTTTTTAAAATTATTTCATCAATCTTCCTTCAAGAAAACTTTATTTTTTTTTTCACATTTAAAAAATATTTTCTAACAATTCAATATCGAGATGCAAATTCAGATCTGCAAAGTTTAAATAATAAAATCATTGTAAAATGTTTGGAACCTCACATGTTCGACTACAAAACTAGAAAACCTTTCTACTGGAGAAAAAAATCTCCGAAGTATTATATTTAGATATCCTTAAAATGGTGTTCTCATTTTGCTTTCAGGATCGTTCAATAGCAGTTTGGGACATGACCTCACAAACAGAAATTGCCCTCCGCCGTGTTCTAGTTGGCCATCGTGCTGCTGTTAATGTCGTTGATTTTGATGAAAAATACATCGTATCAGCGAGTGGTGATAGAACAATTAAAGTATGGAACACCTCGAGCTGTGAATTCGTCCGAACTCTAAATGGACATAAACGTGGTATTGCGTGTTTGCAATACAGAGATCGTTTGGTGGTTAGTGGTAGCAGCGATAATACAATAAGACTGTGGGACGTTGAGTGCGGTGCGTGTTTACGTGTACTCGAGGGACATGAGGAGCTTGTTCGGTGTATCAGATTCGACAGGAAGCACATTGTTAGCGGGGCTTACGATGGGTGGGCAATACACTATTTATTATTTCAGTCTCTTATTATTTCTATCGTTCTCATCGATACTATGAATTCGTTGAATCAACTCGGTATTCATGTTTATTTTGCTATTGATCATTTTTCTTTCAGGAAAATCAAGGTGTGGGACTTGGTGGCAGCACTGGATCCTCGAGCACTCGCCAGTACTCTCTGCCTGCGAACACTGGTGGTAGATATTGAATTTTTCATGTGCATTTATTTTTCTTCAATCTGACGTGAAGATCGATAAAGCTTTTCAATTGAGTTGATGCATGAATTTTTTTACTGAATCAGGTACATGAGAAAAACATTGGGAGTGAAGTTCAGAGAGAAATCCTATTGGAGTTCTGACAGAATTCTATTGAAAAAAATTGAAAAATTCAATAGATTCTTGAAAAATATGATTTACTCTGTTCAGAATTTTTCTATAGAAATTCTTGGACATAAATTCTTCAAATTTTAATTTTTTTTAGTTTTTTTTCCTTTTCTCATTAAAAAAATCCAAGAAAAAAAAATTGGGAAATTCATGCCTAAAAATTCTTTTAGAAAAAAATCCCAACAGAATGGGTTTGTAGAATAATCAACATCTATTGACTTATCTTTCTTTGTCAAATATGTATTTAAAAATACATGACGTGGAGTTCTAATAAAACTTCAAAACAATAAAAAACCAATTGAATAATCGCCATTATTTATAAAATCCAATTCAAATTCAAAAACCCAATCCAATGAAGATCCAAATTGAATGAAAAAAAATGCTTATACAGGATAAATTTCATGCAAGACTCTGATCTGATTTCAGTGATGTTTATCCTCTAATTTTTTATTCTTTTTCCCCCTAATATCAGGAGCACACTGGTCGGGTCTTTCGCCTTCAATTCGACGAGTTCCAGATTGTCTCATCATCCCACGACGACACGATACTGATATGGGATTTCCTCAACTGCAATGATTCAAAGGGAGCCGAGGGGAATTCACAGGTAGTACCCACGCCAGTCCCTAGCCAAGTCGACACCAGATCTCCCTCTCGTAAGTATCTCGAGTGATTCAGCACTTTGATTTGTGTTAATCTTATCGTATTTATTTCAGCGTTCGAGTGACGTATCAAAATAACAATTCCTCTATTGTGATACACCTGTAAGTTGATTTCACAATTATATACGATGATTTTGTAATAGGAAAGAGATAAAACGGAGTAATTTAGCTGGAAATTTAAAATTGAATTGATCTCCGTTTATTTTTTGTAATCATATCTCTGAATCTAAAGGAGATAACGAAATTTTCATAATAACCTTTCCTGTAGAGCGTATTAAGGCCTACAAAAAAGATAATGACAAAAATTTTACTATCACCCCTAGATTTCGAGATATTCATTCAAAATTGACTAATAGTCAAAATCGACAATTATGAAATTGCAAAAATTTTTGAACATTTATAACATGTCTCGTGTTTTTTACTCTTCAAAATGACATCATTCTATTTTCAAAATCAGTTCATAATATTTTTATAAACATCAAAGATCATTGCATGTCGTATTCAGTCTTGTTTTTCTATTTTCATTCGTAAAAATGAAAAAAAAAAAAACATCAAAACGTCTGATTGATACTGGCTTATCTCGTTTTATCTCTTGCCTGCAGACATCTTGATGGAATACCTAATAATTCAGCTAATCATTCTGACATTATATTCCCCAGATAAATGGTTAGTGCGTGAATTCAATGTGTTCACGGATGCGTATGACAGGATTGTAACGATACGAGTTGTAAGTGCACACTGGAAGCGTCTCAGCAAAAAGATCGAAATCATTACAACCAAATTGCTCCAGAGCTGTTGGAAAAGAAGTGAAAGAAATAGAAATCTACATCACCAAAAGATTCTTGAAAAAATGTAACGAATAATACAAATGGAAAAAAACGAGGAGAAAAGACAGGGGTGAAACGTACGTATTCATGCATCCCATGGATGCACGACAATTCGTGTTATCATCATTGAATGGATCCACTTATTTATTTTTGGAATTCCTTCTGCGCTCTATGACACGTGAGAAGTTGATCGATCATTTTCCTACAGCTGTTGAAGGGTGAAGGAGATAATTGAACCTGATAAAACGACGAGAATCATTGAAGACTTGAAAAAATAAACAGTGACGCCACAGAATTGTAATAACGTAAATTAACTAGAAATTTCGAAGAAGTAATTGAACAAAAATGATGAAAAAAATAATAATTGATAATGAATTTTAAGATGAACTGGCACTTAATGATAGTAGATGTATTATAGTAAGTTATAACATAAATAAGAAAGAAAGGAACATTTTTTATGTAATTAATTTATAGTCAAAAAAATGATAAACAAAGATGAATTGCTAAAAAAAATACTGTGAAATGTCGTTTGTTTTTGGAGTACTTACTGTGTATGAATGATCATTCAAATGATTGTAAAGAGGATGAACTTTTGAGACATTCAGTTCAGATTTATTGAACCGTAATAATGTCAATTTATATAGCAATGCATTGCTAATTACTGTCACATCTAAATGGTTTTTTTCTGTGTTATACATTGTGGCTCAATTCAATATGTGAAAACTCCACAGATACAATTAAATAATTCAAAGTAAAAATTCTGTAAAAAAAAAAGCTAGGATAATTTCAATTTTTTTAATTTTTTCATCAATTTTATAACTATCAATATTTTCTCCAAAAAGTTGATGAAAAAAATGGTGATTTATAAAATTCACTTAGGTAATTGTACATTCTTCGTTATTTAAAAGAAAAACCACGAAATTGTAAAATTTTAGTGCAGTTATGGCGAGTGTAAGCTGTGAAAATGTGGAGAGGGAATTAATTTTAGTCAATCATGACACATAAACACATGGTAATGTCACATTAAGTGATTTAATATTTTTCATCATCATCGCATCACTCTCATTTTTTCCTCCTCCTGCCATTGTCAAATTAAATCATTCAACTCGACTAAACCAATAACAATATTTGTGCAATTGATATACTTGACATCACGAGATCATACCCGAATGAAGCATCAATCTTACTCATTCATTGATTAATCCAATTAAATTATAAAGGAGCAAGGTTTAAATTATTGAATAAAATTTTTGAAGCTTCGAAATTTTTGAAAAAAATTGCGAATGTGAAGAGAATGATAGTTGATTGTAGACGTAAGTGACATGTATTCTGAAATATAATGATCATGCGTTCAATTGGATTCATTCGATATCTCATTATTAATCAACTGATATCAATCGAGATGATGTTCATTAAATTCTTGTGGATACTGAGGGCATTTTATGTTTATTCATATCAATGACCTTCACAGCCAGTGGGAAGTTAATTTGGCATTGAACGGAGAACAATTACGGGTTTTACGGATACTTTTTCTTTACATTTTTATTTTTCGTACCAGTTTGTTTGTTTCGTTCAATTTTCCATAGGAGCACGGTGTGGCAGAAAAATTCGAGCTTTACACTGAGAGGAAAACGAACAAGTTCTCAAACAAGTCTTGACGTTGCTGGCATGGAATTAAAAAAAACTCGATGATAAAAAATTGGATGCTATTCTCTCACGCATAAAAAAATTCAATAGAAAACCTGGCGAATTCGGTACAAAATTCTATTGGAATTCTATGAGATTTCTGTAGGATGTTTATTGGAATTCTATTGAAAAATTCTATAGGATTTCTGTTGGAATTCTATTGAAAAATTCTATTTGTTTTTCACATTTCTGTTTCAATTTTTCTCTTAAATTTTTTCTATTGGAGCTATTGGGCACAAATTTTTTCCGCTGGATTTTGTTTTGTTTTGCATTGCTGAATCCGAGTGGAAAAAACTTCGAAGTTTTTTCATTCTATTGTTTTGCCTTCCAAAAATTACAAAATCCAAGAACGAAAAAAATAAAAAATTCACGCTCAAAAATGATGTTTTATAAATTCTAACAGAATGAATAGAATAAGAAAATCAAAATGTCATTAATTATTTCTGTGAAATATCTATTGCATTACCCTCAATACAAATTTGCGTAAAAAAAAGAATTTTTCATTTTACTTCACTAAAATTCTAATAAAATTCCTCAAAGGTAAATTTAAAAAAGAAGTAAAAAACCCGAATCTTTAAACTGCATAATTTTCACGAAAAATTTGCGCAGAACCATAAGTTTCAATAATATAATTTCAAAAGAATTCCCCTACAATTTCCTCTCCAAACAAACAACATAAACTATCATAATGAGACTGAAAACCCCCGGAAACTACCTAAAACTAAAAACCAGCAAAAAAATTAATTTCGTCAAATTCGTAAACTGCGTCTTTGCAAAAAAAGTGATTTATCCACCGATATTTCCGCCGTCCCCCCTGCGAGTGGCTGCTCGCCATCCGTGTTCACGCGTGCGATCTAGCCCGACAATCAGTCCAGAAATGCTGAAGCAGCAAAAATGGCGGATGAACAGGTGAGTTTACCGATGCCAAAATAAACTACCGATGAAGTAACAATAACCCTCGAGCAATAACCGAAGAATCGTCAACGTATCGTCAATAGCCCGGCAAAATCGCCCCTAGAATTCAAATTACCTGGAATAGAGTACTAAACCCGGAGTGTCGCAATTGCTCTAGCCTTTGTCGGCGTAACCCCCCTTGTTCCGAGTGGTCACGCACACACACGCCGACCGAGTGTGTACGTACACCTGGGCATTGCCGGATGTAATTCGTCCACTGATCTGCGTCTTTAGGCTATCTCTCGAGCTATTGAATTCTCCTGCCTAAACTATCGCATTGCCATTGTTCAATCTGAATATTCCAATTTCCTCAAATTACAATGGAGTTGATGTCATCTCGTGTTTTCGTTACGATCGTCGCGTTCCCGATGTAAATTCAAAAGTTATTGGATCACGAGATAGACTAGCACCAACGAGACATAAATAAAGAATCTGAGATAGAAGACGATTGGGATTGCCTTCGACAATTAACGAACGGAGAATAATAATGTGAGAGAGGCTGTTTGAAATATTTCGTTTATTCTCATTGTTTAATCGTTTAGTGATGGTTCACACAGTCTGTCGAGTTTATTATGGTTTATCGTGCATAATCGCTGTTCAATATTTATCTCAGTCGTGTGATGTGTATCTCTGTTGTGACAACAAGTTCGGTATTCGATCGGGCATTGGAGTGCACCGGTGATGAATAATATTCGGTGAAAAAGTTTGTGATTACATGAGTTTCTTTGTTGTGCACTCGTCTCACGCCTCTGGGACGTTATAAATTCGCGAGAAACGGGTATAACCTCCAACAATCGTTTCAGTATATCCCGCAATTGGAGAATTCTTCCCCCTTTTTTGTTGCTGATTGATTATTTGTTTGTTTACTTGTTGTGCGATAATTCGGTGAGGAATTCGTGCGAGGATTGGTACATGTGAATGCAGGAGAATTAATGAGATAACGTTAATTAATTTCAAGGTGAAAGGGATGAAAAAGTGAATGAAATACGCGAGAGGGAAAATTTTAATACGAGGGAAAATAAATATAATTGAGAATGAATGACATACAGGAAGTACGGCAACTAGAGTTGCTGTGCAAGCAGCTGTACGAGTCACAAGATTCGGCTCATCGTGCTGAAGCTGAAAAGGCACTTGTTGGCTTTCAAAATGCCCCAGACACTCTTAGCAAGTGCCAATTGTTGTTGGATCGGGGGGATTCAGCTTATGCCCAACTTCTTGCTGCCACAACTCTCACGAAGCTCGTGTCACGATCTGCACAAGGGCTCAGTCTACAGCAGAGGCTTGATATACGTGAGTTTATGTTATGGACTTGATTAGTTGTTAAGGGGTGATGTAGGGGGAAATTAAACGAAATTTTAGACGTTACTAATTGTTATTTATCTCGAAAACATGTGATTCGCTAGAGAATTTTATTGGAATTCTCAGAAAGTCTATGGGGGTTCTATGAAAATTCTGGGGAATTCTCGTTATAATTTTGCTTGGTTTTTGCGCAGATTCTATTAGATATTTGATAGAAAAAAGTCCATAGATTGCGATTTTTCTGTTTGAATTATTCTCCTGAGAATTTTTATTTTTTCCGCTATATTTTGTTTTGTTTTGTATTGCAGAATCCGAGTGAAGAAAACTTGGAAAATTCATGCCCAAGTGTTCTTATAGAAAAATTCCAAGAGAATATTCATATGGAAAAATCGAAATCTATTGACTTTTGTATGCGATATCTCACAGAATCCGCGCAAAAAACGAATAGAATTTTAACGACATTTCCCTAGAATTTTAATAGAATCCCAATGGAATTTCAAAAGAATTCCAATAGAATTCTCTAGCAAATTCGCTGGTTTTGTATGAAATTTTTTCATATGTGAAAATTTGAAAAGATGTTCTTTGTAAGTGAGAAGATTATCCATAAAAGTATCTTTTGAGATTTTCTCGTAGAGTGACTCGTTGTCGACATAAATCAACATTTTATACTATTAAAATGGCATAATGACAAAACTGCATTAAATTTCATATTTTGACTTGTGCCTTTCAAAAGACATTTTTTGATAGATAAAAGTTTATGTTTTCTCTCCATAACTTACTTTGTTGTGACTTTCGATAATAATTCTTGATCATAATTTCCGTAAATTGTTTCTTGGATATTGTTATGAGAAAAAATGCCTGAAAATTTCTCCCCAAAAATGAGGATCTACGGACTTTTTATTAACAGATCTTTCCAAGCCTCTTAAATCAATGAAAAGTGTCTCTTGCCATTTTCTCTTGAAATTATTAGCCACCAAGATCAATCAACAGCGAAAAACATGAAAATTCATCCATCTCCTTCAAGTTCAAAAACAATCATCATAAATTCTCAAGATCATCATCAAGTGATGAGACAATTCAGTTTCAAATTCTTATTATTCAAAAATCTCAAAAACATCTAATTTCAGGAGAAAATGTCCAAAGATCTGTTTTCTGCTCAGAAAATTCCCAACAAAAAAATTTGCTTGATATTTCCTCAGCATTCAACAAAATGAGAAAAATCGATTCTTTAAAATCGTGAGTTTTCCAAATCATTAGACTCAACCTTTTGCTGAATATCTCAGAATCGAAGATGCAGAAAAATCCCCACATCCTCTTTAAACACAAAAAAATTAATCAAAAACCTTCGCCTTAATTTTTCTCATTCCCCTCCCAACCAAACCAACTAAACCCCCCATTCTCACCGATTCTTCCAGGCAACTACGTGCTAAACTACTTGGCAACCCAACCAAAACTGCCAAACTTCGTGATTCAAGCCCTGGTGACCCTCTTCGCGCGAATATCAAAGCTAGGATGGTTCGACGCAGACAAAGACGAGTACGTATTTCGAAACGTGGTGGGTGACATTTCCAAATTCCTCCAAGGCTCGGTAGAGCACTGCATGATCGGTGTGCAACTGCTGTCCCAGTTGACATGCGAAATGAACCAGATATCCGAGGCTGATGCCAACAGATCACTAACGAAGCACAGGAAGATAGCCAGCAGTTTCAGGGACACCCAGCTCTTCGAGATCTTCAGACTGTCCTGTTCCTTGCTGGGAACAGCCAGGGAAAACTGTAAAAATCTAAACTTCAACGATGAGGCACAGCACGGTCTAATGACCCAACTCCTTCGTCTCGCGAGAAACTGTCTGACCTTTGATTTCATTGGCACGGCAACAGACGAGAGCTCTGACGACTTATGTACAGTACAAATACCCACGAGTTGGAGGCCAGCATTCCTAGATTTTACAACCCTAAAGCTCTATTTCGATCTTTACCACAGCTTACCAAACACCCTGTCATCACTGGCCCTCTCCTGTCTCGTTCAAATAGCATCAGTCAGGCGTAGTTTATTCTCAAACACTGAGAGAGCTAAATTCCTAACGCATTTGGTGAATGGAGTTAAGCATATACTTCAGAATCCCCAGGGCCTCAGTGATCCTGGTAATTACCACGAATTCTGTAGATTGTTAGCAAGATTGAAGAGCAATTATCAGCTGGGGGAATTGGTTATGGTTGAGAATTATCCGGAGGCTATACAACTCATAGCTAAATTCACTGTTCAGAGTTTGCAAATGTGGCAATTTGCACCCAACAGTGTTCACTATCTGCTGAGTCTCTGGCAGAGAATGGTGGCTTCAGTGCCATATGTCAAGGCAACTGAGCCACATCTCCTGGAGACCTATACACCGGAGGTCTCCAATGCCTACATCACCTCGAGGCTTGAGTCAGTGGCTGTTGTTGTTCGTGATGGTCTTGAGGATCCTCTCGACGATCTGGGAATGGTCCAGCAGCAGTTGGAGCAATTATCTGTGATTGGTAGATGCGAGTATCAGAAGACTTGTACGTTACTTGTTCAACTTTTTGATCAGGCTGCCAATGCTTATCAGGAGTTGCTGTCTCAGACAGCTAGTCCCACGCAGCAGATTGAACTGAGGATTCAGGAGGGACAGCTCACGTGGCTGGTTTATATCATTGGTAGTGCCATTGGTGGACGTGTGTCGTTTAACAGTAATGAGGAGCATGATGCCATGGATGGTGAACTTGTTTGTAGAGTAATGCAATTAATGAATTTAACGGATTCTGGACTCACCCAGGGTGGCTGTGAAAAACTTGAACTCGCTATGCTGAGTTTCTTTGAGCAATTCAGGAAGATTTATGTTGGGGATTCTATACAAAAAAATTCCAAAGTTTATCGTAGGCTGTCGGAAGTGCTGGGGCTCAATGATGAGGCCATGGTACTCAGTGTATTTATACGGAAAATGTGAGTTTAGTATTTATTTCGTATTTGTGAATTTATTATTATCAATAATACTAGAGTGACAATTGAGCACGAACTCAACCAGAATATTTTTACTCATCGACTTGCGTTTAAAATTTATTTCAGATTTTTATCTTCAAAATTGAAGGTATTTTTATACTTTTTATACTACTTTGATTCTGTTTTTATTCAGAATAACCAATTTGAAATACTGGGGACGAAGAGAACAGATTATTTCAAAGACACTTCAACTGCTGACTGATCTGTCAGTTGGATACAGTTGCGTGCGAAAGTTGGTGAAGCTCGATGAAGTGCAGTTCATGTTGAACAACCACACAGTGAGTTCTATTAATTGGAATATTCATCGTGAGTACCCTGGTATCTGTCAGTTGGTGGTGACGAAAATGTTTGATCTCCTTTCAGAGTGAACACTTTCCATTCCTTGGCAACAGTGTCGCAGTCTCTGAGATGCGTTGCAGGACAATGTTTTACACCTCACTTGGGAAATTATTTATGGTCGATCTGGGTGAAGATGAGGAGAGATTCCATACTTTCATGCTACCTCTGACAGGTAATTCAAAATTGTGGATTATCAATTCAAAACGAGTATATTTTTCGGTTTTTCTTCAATCTTGCTTCGATAATTATTGTATTTAGGACAAAGTTTCGAAGGAAATTGTTCAAATGGGAAAATGAGTTTTTGCATGATTTTTTTTTATCTAGTAGAATAATTAAATACGGAAATTTAATGAAAAATATTAAATTCAGATTTTTTCAGCAAAAATTAATTTTTTTTTTCGCGGGATTTTGAATAGAAATAGTAAAACTATTTCCATTCTGTAAAACTATTTAAGGATATCCAAGTATCTTTTACAGTTTGGTACAGACTACACTATAGATTCAATCATTTTCAATCATCAAATTTGTCAGTTAAATTGCGTGAAAAATATTTGAAAAAAATTATGAATATTCAGGGTCATTCAAATTACATTTTGCGAAGAATTATTTTTTTAAACATTCGTTGTTTATAAAGCAATAATTAAAATTGTTCAATTAAACTTTTGGAAACCTAATTTTTTAAAGCAAATCGATTACTCGTAAAATTTTGAATATGAATAAATTTGTTACAATTCCAAAGAAATGATTTTTATCGTGGAAAATTGATTGTTAATAAATTATTTATAGAAATGCTCGTAATTTTCAAAAAATGCATTTTTTCATTTATTGAATGTTCATATTGTGCAATTTAAAAAAATGTAAAACCTTAATTCAACTTGTTACGTTTACCACTTTGTCATTTTGAGTAATTAATTTAAAATTCGTTATGAAGCTGCACTGGAGAGTCTCGGTCAGTTGATGGGTGCAGCCGACACTCCCCTCTTTGCAGCTGAAGAAGCTAAGAAAGCACTGATCGGAATAGCCCGAGATTTGCGTGGCCTTGCATACGCCTTCAACACAAAACCCTCCTACATGATGCTCTTCGATTGGATCTACCCGAACTACACTCCCATCCTCCTGCACGCCATCGAACTTTGGCACCACGACCCCCAAGTAACAACGCCAGTCTTGAAATTATTCGCCGAATTAGTACATAATCGCAGCCAACGCCTGCAGTTTGATGTATCATCGCCGAATGGTATTCTCCTGTTTCGCGAAGCCAGTAAAGTCATATGCAGCTATGGTAATCACATACTGAACGTTGAAGTACCCAAGGATCAGATTTATCCACTGAAATTGAAGGGGATCAGCATATGCTTCAGTATGCTGAAGCTAGCATTCTGTGGTGGTTATGTTAATTTTGGGGTATTCAGGCTGTATGGGGATGAGGCCCTGGACAATGCTCTGAATACTTTTGTTAAATTGTTGTTGAGCATACCTCAGAGCGATTTACTGGTGAGTAAAGCAAACATCTTTATTATTGAGGTATAGGGGCGAGTGGGGCAAAGTGGACACTTATAACTTTTTGTTTAATCTTCATAACTCATTGAAATTTTCTTTAATTGGCATTTTTTTAATATTTGGACAGTGCAACTCTTCCCCTTTGTAATGAGTCTGGACTGAACTCAATTAACCAATTTGTTTCCAAGTTAAAAACATTAAAAAAACTCAAAAGTGTCCATTCTGACTCATTTCCCCCTTAGGACCCTTGACTTTCTTTGAAATGCTAATGACGTGTTAAATTGTTGATAAAATGGAATCATTTTTCAACGTCTAACAATTAAATCATTCAATTTTTATTCTAATAATTATAGCTTCATTCAAGTTGATGGATATGAACTATCAATTGATCTTGAAATGCTTGAAAATTCCGGTACTAAAATGAGTTCTCCAAAAATCTCAGTTTTAGGATTTTTTTTAATTACAAAGACGGACACATTTCCATTCAATGATATTCATTCATTGAGTTTATTCAAGAAAGAGAAGATCCTGGAAGGAATAAGAAAATCCATTAGCTCCTGTCGAAACGCCAAAGATTTCTGGTCCATTCTCAAGAAATTTAGGATAAAGCCTTACATCATGAACAAAATAGGTCCAGATATCTGGCACAATTTCTTCCAAGAGCTCCTCCCACCTCGTAAAAAAAACAGATTTGTTAATAACGAATTCCAATCATCCCGTGCTCGATCAATCGATTTGCTTTGAAGAAATTTTGATGAGTTTGAAAAAATGTAAGAGTGGAAAATCACCCGGCCCGGATGGTATTAGTAACGAATTTTTTTAATATCTCCTGGATAATTGGTTAGTTTATCTGAGAGATTTCTTCAACAAAATACATGACCAGGAAACGGTGCCTGAGGAGTGGTCCATGATATATGCATCAATGATATTTAAGAAAGGAAACCCCGAAAACCCTGCGAACTACCGATGTATATCCCTGGTAAATTCCCTAGCTAAGATTTTTACGCAAATAATCAACGGCCGACTCGCCACCTGGGCAGAATCTAGCAGTAAACTGCCTGAATTCCAATCGGGATTTAGAAAGGGTCGAGGCTGCATTGACAATATTTTCATCCTCTCCTCTCTCTCCCAGATTCACTTGTCCCAACCCGGACGAAAAATTTACGCTATCTTTATTGATTTTCAGAGAGCGTCTGATTCTGTAAATCATGAAATCTTTTGGACGAAACTTGGTAGACTCGGGGTGAGTGATAAGATCATTAGAATTTGTAAAAGTCTGTATAAACGGACACGCTTGACCGTTCATACAGGCTCTGGTCTCTCTCGCCCAGTTGATATTACTGAAGGGGTGCTACAAGGAGAAATTCTTAGCCCTCTTCTATTTTCTCTTTTCATATCAGATTTTGAAGAATATATGCGTGACAATAATTCTCGGGGTCTTTCTATTGATCACAAAAACGAGGTTCTGTGTATTGCGTACACAGACGACCTGGTTTTATTTGCTGAAAACCCTCGAGATCTCAGAAGAAAAATAAAAATAGCATCGGAATACTTTAAATTAAATCAACTGAAAATGAACAAATCCAAATCGAAAGTGCTCATTTTTCATAAGGGTAGAACCGCTAAAGGCCTCACTTTTACATGTGAGGGGGAGGCATTAGAGATCGTTGACAAGTTTACATACCTCGGGATTACTTTCTACAAGTCAGGTCTATTTGAGCCGCGACTTAGAAGAGCTAAAACATCCACCCGATCGACTATTAACTCTGTCCTCAGCATCCTTAATCGTGCCCGCTCCGATACTTGGCACTCCAAGGAGTACCTGTTCTCGTCTTTAGCAACTAGCGTGATGTTCTACGGGGTGGAGGTATGGGGTTTGAGACACTACGACGAAATTAATTCTGTACGAACCTATTATTATAAAAAACTACTCAAACTACCCTCCCACACCCCCGGATACGCGGTTCGTTTGGAGACTGGATCTGTTCCTCTTGAATACGAAGTGCTTAAACGTTCTTTGAGATGGCTTGAAAACTTAATGATGATGGATGACAACCGACTACCAAAAATTTGTTTTAAAAAACTGCTTAGCCTCACTTCAATCTCAAACATCAAAACTAAATATAATTGGTGTCTACAACTCGATAAAACTATACAAAACCACTTTCCACCGGGGATCAAGGCACTCTGCGAAGGAGGACTTCTTAAAAATAACATAGAAAAAATTCTAGTCAGTTACAAGACCAAATTAGAAACCGAGGACAGGCGCAGGCTTTCCGATTCTCACTTCCAGTATTTCCGTACCTGGATTTTAACGATACAAAGCAACCTTTCTTAGAATTTAAATTGCCGATTCAATTTTTACAGACCACCTCACAATGTCGCCTCATTACAACCATTTCTTCCCGAATTGTGCTGAAAAACTCGACCATAAGATTTGGAGAGACCGCATTCTGCCCCAATTGTCACGAACTCCTCAACAATTACCTATACCACGTCCTGACAACCTGTTCTAGCTTTACGGAAGAAAGAAAAATCTTATATAACAAATGCAATCTCGACTCGACTAATTCTAACCCCACACTAACTCTCTCAAACGTCAAAAAAATCGAAGAAGTCAGGGCTCTACACTTTTATTTGAACAAAACTAGTAAGCAATGGCAGCACTAATCTCTGCTATAACTAATCGATGGAACAAAATGTAACCTATGAAAATAATGTAACAGAAATAGGAGAAAAACTACTATGATAGGAAACTATGAACTGTATCACCGTTAATGAACAATGTACTAATGAGACTCACCTTTGTATAAGACCATGTTGTCAAAACAAAGAATAAATGAATTGATATTCATTGAGTCAAGTTGAGTGTTCTATAACTAGAATTCATTGACCTGGTGCATATTAACATCCATTCGTTGAGATGACTTCTTCCAGAGCATTTTTAGAGAAATTTCAGTACTATTGGACTCATTTTGTATGTTTTAACATTTATTATTACATAAATTCTTGAGCAAGAATTTTTAAAGTCTGTTTACGTGGATTTTGGAAAGAGTAAGGGAATTGATTCCCAAGAATTTCAAGGTAATCCCAATAAAACGTCAATAGAATGCCTATAGAGGTCCAATAGAAAATTCAATGCAATTTTTTGGAGAAAAGACTAGGTTTTTCTGTTAAACTTTTTCATACGTGTAAAGTTTGACAGCATTAGATAGTTATATTTAACAAGATGAAAGCTATTTATTATATCAATTACCTCTAGTAGTATATATTCAATCTGGATAAACCTAGTAATTAAATAATTTGCAATTCTTCAAAGTTGAGAAGCCAATTCTAAGAAATTGGAAGGAAACTCCAACTCGAAAATCCTTAATCGCAAATCATCTATAAATGAAATTCTATGATTGAATCAATTATTGAATTGATTAATTCGTATTTATTATCTACAACAGGACTACCCAAAAGTATCAGCCACGTACTACGTTCTCCTTGAGTGCCTAGCCCAGGATCACATGACATTCTTATCAACCCTGGAGCCACGAGTATTCCTCTACATTCTCTCAAGTATCAGCGAAGGCCTAACGGCACTAGGTGCGCTTAAAGACTCCTACACAGGTCTGTGCGGCTGATTCTATCTTACTCGTACCACTCTACATCCTCAGGAAGGAAAAGAACACTTAGATAAAATCATTTCCAAATTCAATTCCGAGGCAAAATGATAATGCTTGATAGAGAGACCAAGAGCATTGGGGTGACAGAAACACTGTCACTTGCCTCTTTTATTTTGCATTGACAATTCAATCGCTTTGGAATGAAAATGACGAGTAATAGATGAGAAAAAATATTGAGCATTCGCACACCCGTTTGTTTGACACAGGTAGCAAGAGGATTTGAGTGCATACGATTATCTTGATCCCAAATTAACCTCCAGAGGATAATTTCCCGGATTTTTTTACCTTAGGCTTGAATTGTGAAATCTTGTCCATTGTCACCGTGACTGTAATTCTTGCCCACAAGCTTCCGTACTTCTGTAATGATAGTTTGAGAGGAGAGAAAAGAAAACATGATGACAAATGATATCATGAGTTGAACTACGGGTCTAGCACTTGCAATCAGCCGCACAGCTGACACATTTACCTTAATTATTAACATCTTGTTGAATTGCTACATTAGAGTAAGTTGCTGATCTACTTGTTATTTAAGGGACGATGGTTAATTGCATGAAAATCGACGTCTCATTTTGGTAACTTTTTATTTGTTTTTTAATTGCTTGGTAATTTAATTGCTAGCGGGTTTGGTTGTAGTTAGTTTTTCATTGGAGAATTTGTAAGATTGAATAGGTCGTCTTAAGAGTGAGTTTGGGATTAATAACTTGGAATTTCGAGGAAATGACGAAATTAAACACTTTTGGTGGCTTTTTTTGTAGATTCAGAGAGAGGGAGAAAAATACTGCAAAATATTCGATATTTGCCTTCAATTCTGAGATATTTCAGGAGCGAAATGGTAAAACGGTTTAAGTTGAATTTAAAAATTTTCCCCGTCAATTTTTCTCGGCGAATACTTCCCTTTGAAATTAATTTTCCTTACTATACTAATTTCTTCTATGGGGGATTTTACTTGGAGTTTTTTTTCCCAGAAAATGCGAATTGAATTTTTTTCCTCGTAGAAGGGAAAAAATGAGAAAGTTAATGGCAAAAATCTTTTTTTTTTTATTCGCGATTGTTTAATCAATTCTTTGTTTACCGACCTATGTTGATATGTAAATTTTAAATTCAATGCAATTTAATTTCTAATCAGATCAGTTGAGTTTTGTTACATGCAAAGAAGATGAATAGATGCTGTATTTAAATATGTCTGATTTAATATTTTCCCGGGAAATTTCACATGTTTTTTTTTTCTTGGGGACATGGAAAATTTTCATGGGATAAATTTTTTAGGGGAAAAATTTTCCGGGGAATTGTTCACAGGGAAAAAAATCTAAGGGAGATAAGGATTTTTTCGTAATTACACTTTTTGTGGAGCGAACTGAGGACTACAAAAAATGTGATGACAAAAATTTTGCTATCTCCCCCCGCTTCCGAGATATTCTCTGAAAACTGGTCAATAGTCAGAATTGACGTGAACTGTTCTACCGTTTCGCTACTGATTTAACAAAAACTAACGTCTGAAGGACAGTAATTCATTCTGTTTTACCAGTTCTCTATTAATTTGTAAGACTGAGCGTCGGGGGTACTAGTGCATTGCATGAGGTACGAATGAGCCAGGATTATTTTCATTCTGTTGTTTTTTTAAAATTCTTCGAACTATTTTGGGTTTATATCAAGCCTCATTGATGGTTTCAGACACGATGGTGTGCACTGGCTGCTGTGCAACACTGGATCACATCGTTACGTACTTGTTCAAACAGTTGTCACAAAAAGGTGAGTTTTCACAGTGATGAAGCGTAACAAGTTTAATGATGTTAATAGCGAATGATTTCAAGGGGAAATGTTGAGAAAAATTTGCCATTTAAGGCCCGGNATCTTTCGTCATCTGAAATTGTCAATTAAGTCCTGCATCATGCAGAAGTTTTGAAAAATTATGAATGAATAATTTTAAAAAAGTAGAAAAAATTCTTAATTTTTTCAAAGAGCATTTTTAATTTATATTCAGAATAAGTTGAATAACAAGAAACTGAAAAATGTATCTGATTCATGGCGACAAATGGCGGTCTGTCACTCAATATCATGCAAGGCGAAGACTGATTTCGTAAATCTTTTCCCACACTGCATAGAGACATTTATTACGGACAAGGCTCTTTGAAAAAAGTTGTAATATTTTGGAGAATGTTTTAATCGCACTTTTATTACATAAAAATGGCAGATGACTACATACCACTGTTTTGAAAATTGAGATACCTAGCTGTCACTTCCCCTGAAGAGTTAGAGTTTTGTTATCCATGATGTAAAATGACAGCTAATAGATAATTTGCCACAGCGAATCAGATATTTGTAATTTCCACTTTTTTCAACTCATTCGGAATCTCAATTGAAAACGCTCTTTGCAAAAGTTCAGAATTTTTTCTATTTTTTTATTATCATTCTATCACAATTTTTGGGAATTTCTACGTGATGTACCACTTAATTGACAATTTTGGATTACGAAAGATAAAAAAAATCCAGATAACATTCGAAAGATAGTACACCTGGGCCTTAAACTTTTTTTTTAAAAAAAGGGCTTGACGTTTCGTCACAAAGTGTATTGTTGAAAATTCCTCCTGAAATTGTCAAGCAATTGGCAAAGATGACATAATATAATTTCTTCACTCGATTATGTTTTACGTCTTCGTTTTTTTTCCTCATCTGATGTGTGCTTGCATTAACATTTTTATTAACTTCAATTGTCTGCGTTTGAATGCATTCCAGCTGGTGTCTACCCTGGGAAGAAGAATTCGGCAGTGGCTACTGGAGGGGATTTATTTCTACAAGTGTTGAAGCAGCATCCTGAGATACTTCAGCAGATATTGAGTACAGTGCTCAATGTGATAATGTTCGAGGACTGTAGGAATCAGTGGATCATGTCGAGGCCACTTTTGGGACTCATTCTGCTGAATGAAGAAGTAATTTATTTTCCTTGGTCTGGGGCCATTCGAATATTACGTCACACGTTTTTTTGAACTTTTTAGATAGAACCCCTTTCCCACAGTTTGTCACAAGCATTGACCCCCCTTGTATATTACGTCAGAAGATCAAAGACTCTCCTGCTACTGCTAGGGCGATTTTTTTAGTGTCTTCATAACATTGAATTTGAAAAGTAAGAATAAGATAGAAAAGGCAAATAATCAGGTGAACCATTAAATCTTACAAGACTGTGTTATTTTTGCACTTTTCCATTAATTATTATCAATAATGTTGGACTGTCGATTGAAAACAAACTCAACCAGAATGTTTTATTGATAATAACTTTCGTTTGGAATTTATTGCCGATTTTGATGTTTAGAATTCATGTTATGTTTGTACTATTTTAAACATTTCGTCACTTCAGCAATTGTTGCCATCACACCATTTCTAAATTTTTCCTCGTGAATGTTTGGGATAATTTGAAGAACTGGTAGAACCTCGGGTTTTTCCTGAGAAAAGGGGACGAGAAAAACATTGCATTTGCGATTTCTTTGGTTAAAAATGGAAAAATAAAAATAATATGTGGAAAAATAATATGTGTAACATCACAGCATGAGAAACCCCCGACTCCTCTCCCCACTTAATCCTGTGACGTAATATTCCAATTCCCTCTTCTACTGTCTGCGCCTTGAACAATTTGGGGTAAATCAAATGTCATAATTCTGCCTTAAATTTGCTGTTACAGTACTTTGGTCAACTGCGGGAGAACATCATCAGGAGTCAACCGGTGGATAAACAAGCAGCTATGGCACAGTGGTTCGAGAATCTTATGGATGGAATTGAGCCGAATTTAGTCACAAAAAATCGTGACAGGTAACATGAATTGGAAATGAAAATATAGGCTAGTTTGGCAGAGTAGTGATGCCTAGCTAATGAGTCCAATGAGAGTCAATTTTTTGCATTCTTTCACATTTTTAGCAGTTGAAAAAGTGATCAATTAATTTTTTTATGCAAATTATTCTATAGATATTTCTTGACATAAATTATCTCAATTTTTGTTCCACTGATTTCTTGCCTTCTTTTCATCAAATTTGAGCAAACGTATTTCTATCTTCAACATCCATTGATGTTTTCTATTAAATTTTATCTATCGAAAATTTCTATTTAAAAAAAACGTGGAAAAGTTTCAATAGAATTGACAAAAAATAGAATTTCCATAAAATCCAATGAAATTAACCAGCGAATTCTACTTCTTTCTATTGAAATAAGTATTATGTCTATTGAAAGAATATTTTTTGTAAATTTGAAATATTACTCAGGAAAACTTATACTGTTCATAAATGAAAAACTCTTGAGCACAGTAGCAAATCATTTATTTTGGTAAAAAAGTTTGTGTCACAGAAACTGAAAATATTCTTAAACCACTAATTTATTTTTACCTCCAAATGTTGAATTGACTCATCATGGCTCACCACTCGGTTTCAGGCAAATTTTCATGATTTGTCTCCACTAAAACTAAATTCTTAATCAACAGATTCACCCAAAATCTTTCAATGTTCAGAAGGGACATAAATGACTCCCTGAAAGGACCAAACATGTCATCAAACTCTGGCAGTGACATGATGACCTCGTAGTGTTGTTGATAAAATCGACAAATCACCCGCCGTGTCGTCAATAATTTTCGATTTAGAGATAAACCTGAGACATTGGCTGCCGATTAACAAGAATAAAAAAAGAAGAATAAATAAGTAAATGATCGTATGCATGTGAGAGTATGTCTTCTGTAATTGAGTAACGACGAAGAATGAAGAACAAAACTTTGTAAAATTGGACAATTTCATTTAGTGTTTTCATAAATAAGAAAGGGTATACTTTTTTTTTCATTTAGATCCAGTACAACTTAGGAAAATGTCTCGTGGGGTGATTAATTTAGCCACAAAGAGTGTAGAATAAATGTTTATGTGTTTGTGTAAGACTTTGCGGCCTTAAATCGCTGTTTGTGGCAAAGTTAACGTGAAATGTGTGCATGAGAGCCCTCGCACATTTGTTCATCGTTTTTTTTTCGAGGATAAAGAGATAGTGAGCGAGATCAATATGATGATACAGGAGTAATGAAAATACACGCTTCTTCGTGCGGGATTTATGTGTATGATGTACATGAAAGATATCATTAAAACTATCATTTAAGAGTGCTCAGTTCTTATTGTAATAAAAAACAAATTTCAAAGAAATATTGAATAACGATTGACGAATGAAAAACCTTTGAATTCGAGTGCCAAGTGCATCAATAATTTAATGACTATATTACTAGTGCAGGGTGAATGCATCATGACTGCTTTTCACATTTATTCCCTAATCAAATTATTTTATTTTTTCATTTATTGAGGCCGATGTTTTCTGATTTTTCTACATAAAGCGCATGAAATATTGAATGAGAAAATATTTCCAAAGACAACATTGTCGTCTGTCAATGTTCCATATTTTTTATACGCCAATTTAATTTTTAAAAATCATGGATGAGGGAGATGACGAAATCAAAAACACTTGGCTGGCTAATAAAATTTAAACAGTTGTGGCGATGGTTTTTTTTATTTTTTTAGTCGGTGTAATGTTGTCTACGGTTTTTGGGAGACTCTCAGGTACTTCGGGGGTGTAACTCAGTGGTAGAGTGTCTGCTTCGCATGCTGAAAGTCCTGGGTTCAAATCCCAGCTCCTCCAAAAAAATTTTTGCGATTTATTGGGAAATTGTTGTAATTATTGTAAACAAGTCAAAAATAGAAATTTCACGATTTTTGGTGGTTTTAGACTATTTTTGTGATATTTTTAAGTGGAGGTTTGGGTCTATATATATTTGTGTGTATATATGTGCGGGGAGGTGTTTGTGTGAGTGCGACTGCGTGTGGGTTGTGTAAATGGCATGCGTTCAACGACTTCTCTTGGGGAAACGATGCAATTCGAATTCCGAATTTTGCAATTGAAGGGTTCTGGTTTAATCTGGAACTAGGAATGAGAAATAATGTTTGCAAACCTGTCAGGTCAGGAAAATATGACGGTCATGTGACCGTCAAAAAAAAATTTTTCTTTCCATCATTGGAGAAATATGTATTCATCCATCCGACGAAATTTCAAACCCGCAACCGGAACTAGACATCGAGAAAATAAATGCGGAAAATCCTCTATTTCGCGTGACGAACCTCGAGAAAGCATGGGATCAAATGGGTACGGCGGGTTGAAATATCTCTCTTATTCACCCCGGTACCCCATTGTTTTTTGTCGCCATCACATTGAACACATCATTCCCCATATCTTCAAATTTTTTCAAATTTTTCTTGAGTTCCTAGGGGGTTGAAACGTTCAATTTAATCAAAACTCCATAAGAGGCCGTGTATAAGACTGAT